AAGCCATTAGGTAACCTACCCTCAAAGAGGAAGGGCTCCTGCGTGATGACGCCGATGCGTTCGCGAAGCAAACTCAACGCCAGCGTCTTTAGATTCATCTGGTCGAGATAGATGTCGCCCTGACTAAGTGGGGCAACGCGCAGCAATGCGGCCAGCACGGAGCTTTTGCCGGCTCCCGTGCGGCCCACAATGCCGATGCGCTCAAAGGCTTCCGTTTCGAAGCTAATGCCCCGCAACGCCGGCGATAAATGCTCCCTGTAGCTTAGCTGCACATTCTTAAAGCTGAGCACACCCTGTGTGGGCCAGCCAAATGGTGGATCCGCGCAGCCCTCGGCATTCTGTTCCGGCTCCAGCTGCAAATACTCATCCACTCGCTCGACCGCAACCAGCTCCTGCTCGGTCTCGGCAACAGCATGCAGCAGATCACCCAGCTGGCCGGTTATGGACAGTGCATACGATATGCACAGACCGACCAGGCCAGGATTGGTGGTATGCGAGGCGGTTATGGCGGCCAACAGGCCAGCGCCGCCCACCAGCAGCGAGCCGAGCAGCTGGAGACGCAGCGCCAACCATTGCTGTGCCGCTGCCGCGGACAGCTGTGCCTTGGTGCTCTCCTCCAGCTTGCCCTGGAAATCGCGCTGGAAACGGCCACTAGCGCGCATGCTGCGTATCGTGGACAAACCTTCCAGGGTCTCCGTGAAGTGTGTGTACAAAGGAGACATGGCGTTGCTGGACAATCGCTTAATATCCCGCGACGCATGTCGATAGCGCTGCTGCAGATTCAAATAGATCGGCACCATGGGTATTATGATCAGCACCAGCCAGGGCATGGCATACAGGCTGACGCACAAAGCGCCCACCAAGCCCGCCAGCTGGGCCAGCAAAATGTTCAGTATAAATGGCAGCGAGTCGTCCACCGTGTTTGTGTCCGAGGAGAAGCGATTGAGTATGCGACCCACCGAGGTGACATCAAAGAAATTGAACTTGGCCTGCAAGGAATTACAATTGATTATATGTAGACTGATCTAGTCGAGTGTGCCCGACTAGCTAATACCCTGTTGTTGTCCTAGTTGGACTTAGATCGTCTATTATCTAATACTCACAAACATGACATGCTTGAGGAGCTGCTCGTGCATAAAAATGGCCGCCTTGATGCCAGCATAGGCAAAGAGAAAGGCACGCGCGAGCGTCACCAGGGAATTGGTCACAGCAATCGCCGCAAAGATGCCCAAATAGTAGCCAGTTGTATGCGCGGCGATGCTTTCATTGTCGGAGCTGCCAGCTCGCATAAGTTGATGCTGCAGCGACGTGTCATTCGTGTGGCCATCGAGCGTTGTGTCAGTGACCCAGTGCGCCAGCCAAGCATCGCTCAGATTTCGTGTCAGCTGCATGAGCAGCACGGACAGCAGCACGGTGAGGGCCAGCGGTGCGGTCACTGCGCGCCAATAGCAGGCAAACACATTGGTAGACAGATGCCCGAACTCACGCGACTCCTCCAGCAGCAGACTGTCCACGCTGCGTTTGTCCACGTCCGCCACATTGGGCAGCTCCACGGACAACCGACGCAGCGCAAGCGAATGCTCGTCCTCTTCCTGCTCCTCCTCCTCGGAGCTCATGTCAATGCTCTCGGTCATGTAGTCACTGGGCCGCAGCTGGCCATCCTGGACGTGCAGTATTTGATTGGCATGGAAGAAAAGCTGGGTGCTGCGCGTGACCACAATGCGCGTCTTCTGCTTGAGCAGGCCCAGCAGACAGTGGCGTATAATGTGCTTGGCCACATGGGCGTCCAGCGAGGACAGCACATCGTCCAGCAGATAAACTGGAAGAGTACAAGAAAGATGTTAATAGAATTAAATGAGATGGGACTTGCAACATGCCCACCCTTCTTGTTCTGGTAAACGGCACGCGCCAGCGCTACCCGTGCACGTTGCCCGCCGGACAGCGTGCGTCCGTTCTCGCCAACGCCCATGAGATCACCGCCAAGTATGCGTATATCCTCGTTAAGAGCGCACGCATGCAGCACGGTCCTGTACCATTGTTCGTCAAAGTTGCTGCCCCACACGATATTGTCACGTATCGTGGCCCGCTGCAGCCATGGCGATTGCGGCACATAGCCAAAGCCGGTGGTCAGCTCCTGGACGCACACCTCGCCATCGAGACACTGCAGACCGGCTATGATGGCCGTCAGCAGGCTGCTCTTGCCGCCGCCAACGGGACCCTCAATGCAGATCAATTGTCCGGCCTTGATGTCCAAATTGATGTCGTTCAGACGGAACTGGGAAATGGTTGTCTCGCTGTCGCTATCACTGTGCTCCGTATCGTGCACAAAGTGGGCCGACTTCATTTGCAGCACACTGGGCGTGGCAGCCGGACTTGCACTGCCGCGCATAATGGGATTATAGTAGCTGGAATAGTCCAAATTGGGCACATCCATCAGCTGCTGTACGCGTCGCAACGATACCCACGCCTCGATCAGACCATTGAGCACCCACGGAAAGGCGTTCAGCGGGCCGATCAGCATGTAGAGCAGAGCGACGCTTGTGTACGTCGTGGAGGCAATTAACGGATTGCCCAGCAGCACGGATACGCCAAATGTGAGCAGGCACATAAGCACCGGGGTCGTTGCCCAGAAATAAACACACATGGCATCCAGATATTTGCGCTTGGACAGAAATTTGAGTTCCGTGGTTCGCAGTGCGCGGATTTTGGTTATGAATATGGGCTCCCAGGCATTGGTCTTGATTTGCTTGGCGCCCTGCATGGTCTCTGTGGTGGCCGAGAGACGCGCATCCTTGGCTGTCATCAGGCCCGTCGAATAGATGCCGATGCGCTTGGCCAGCCAGCGATTGATGGGTATCAGCAGTGCGGCAAATATGACGCCCGCCAGAAAGGCGGCGCCCAGCTGCAGATAGAGCAGATACAATGTGGTAAACAGCTTGAAGGGAATGCTCCAGAAGAAGTGAAAGCTAATGCACGAGTTGACAATGCGATCCGCATCGGTGGACATGAGGTTAAGCATATCCGGACGCGATTCGCGCACACCGCGCGCCTCCAATGCCTTGCGATAGATGCTATTGACGACGCCCACGCGCATCTTCATGCTGACCATGGCCATGCGCCAATCGAAATGACAGCCGCACAGCGCCGACAGCAAGGTGCTGCCGAACAGGCCCAGGGCATAGTAATAGGCCCTGCCGTCCGTTTGTCCGTCCTGATAGCTGTCCTGCCGCAACAGTCCGCCGAGCAGCAGCGGACCCGCAAAGCTGGATATGTCCGCTACGAGGCGCAACAGTCCGATCAAATAGAACTCCAGGCCAAAGCACTTGTGCAGCGCACGGAATATGCTCTGCGATTGCGACAACGCCAGATGCAGTCGCTCGCTGAGGCGTGTGATGTTCAGCGCATCGGGCAGATCAAACAAGTCCTCGATGCGACGCAGTTTGCCGGCCACGCCCTTGCTTATCAGCGGCTGCACCCAGTGGAACACGAAACGCGACGGCCAACTGGCCTCGTCCTGGGCATGACCCAGCAGCGCCTCGTTCAGCTCAAAGTGAAAGTAGGTATAACGATTGGTCAGCAACGCCTCCTGCTCGCGATCTCTGGCGCCTGTGGTGCTGGAGCACAAGATGGCATTCCCCTTGGGCAGTAGCGTGGCGGCGTAGCACAGGTCGCACAGCAATGTGGCCAGGCTCCATGGCCACCACTCAAAGTGGCGACTGGTGCGCAGCCAAACGCCGTCCAGCACCACGACCATCAGCCAAACGACATTCATCAAGAGCGGACCACGATGGCTCAGCGTGCCAAAATGTCGCGCCGTCAGCAGATAGCCTGGAAGAGGGAAGTCAATGATACGGCAGACGCCTTGATTTTCCAATAATAAACCTACCGGAGTGCACAATCCACATGATGCACTCGGCGCTGACGACAAGCACATCGACCGCATACAAATCGATGCCAGCGCGATGGAATACAAATATTTTGGATACGGGCAACAGTGCCAAAATAATACTAAATACAATGCGCAATGCCAGCAATTGCAATTGGAGGCTATTGCGCACTATCTGCTGCGTCTGATTGCCAAAATTGTAGGCGGATATCGATGCAAAGATCGTGTAGACGGGCAGCTGGAGCAGGGTCTTCTGGAAGCAGGGCAACAGATCGTTGGTGTCGTTGGCGAATGGCTTCAGGCCTGTGGGACAGAAGTGTGTCCAGTTCCATGCGAAATTCCAATCAATGTTCGACATCGTATTTAGTTAGGACGAAACGAAACGAACGCGAATTTGGGACTTTTTCCTTTTTTTTTCACGCAGCTTTGTTTCTTAGTCATCATTTGCGATTGCCGCGCTGTGAAAGGGGGGCGCGCGGGTCGGGCCGCAAGCAGTGATAAATACTATTGCAAGAAGCCCTTTATTTTACCGATTGCGCGTTCGAGATTAGCTGCCGCCGCTCTTGTTTATAACTAAAGAACAGCTGGAGCTGCCAAAAAAAAAACCCCAACACACAATCACACACGAACAGCTGCAACGTACACACGTGAATGGCAATTACACTTATGAGCGCAGAGCAGTTATCGATAATTTTGTCGCTTATCGTTATCGGTAATATTTAAAAAAAAAGCGCTTTCAGTTGGTAATTCCAGTTTAACTTTGAATTCAAAAACATCACTTGTTATATAGTTGCTCCTGCACTTTGCTCGTTATGCTATTCGTTTATTTTTAAATGATTCAAGGCTATTTAAGTAGTTATTTGACATCGTATTGTGATGATATAGTAGTATAGTATAGTAGTCTGACTATAAGAAACAATACATGCAACTATATAAGGAAATGAACAACAATTGTAAGCAACTGAAGAAATTAATACTTTATAAAAAAATAAAATACGTATTTTTATTTTGCTTACAAATCCCCAAACAAGTTCAGTTATTCATTTCAATGAACCATTTAATTGAACTTGTTCCAAAAAAACTGCAATTCGCGCCGAATGACATGCAGCGAAGAAGAAGCATTTGTTTACAAATTTCTAATTCGTTAAAATGACACAAACTGAGGCCGCGAACAGCGAAAACAGCTCAGAAATAGTCGAACTACCCAATCAACTTGTGGATATATTCAGAGCTCTGGCTGAAAATGCTAACATTATCTTTAAGTCGCAACAAATCGATGATCCCGAGCTAAACTTGTCGGAGAAGCAACAAATTGCGCAGGATGCATTTCACAAAAATCGCGAAACTTTCTTAATACGCTTCGGCAGCTATTTAGACGAGCGCCAATTAAGCGACTTTCAGTCTCTGGGCGTACAGGAGCCCATCAAGCCCGATGAGAACCTGGAGGAGATTTGCCTGCTGCTGGACGACTTCAAGCGGAAGCTGCACACCCGTTCGGTCTGCGTCAAGAATAGACGCTACCATGCAATGGAGCAGCTGCTGCAGAAGGGCGAATACTTCAGCGAGCACGAAATGATGCAGCGGGCACCAGAGCTGTACCAGGAACTGGTCGGACAATACTTGACGGAGCAGGAGCGCAAGCAGCGGGACAGCTACGATGTGCGCAACACCAGTTTCTCGGGCATACTGATGCACACGCTGGAGCAGAAGCAGCGGGACGAGCTGTTGCAACAGGTAGATAGCGGCTCAGAGATGCAGTCGCTGCCGGCGCCAGCCGCAAATGTGGATTGCGAAGTGCCTGCTGCGTGCCGCAAGCAATGGGGCGGCTTCGAGGATGATGAGCCGGTGGCTTGCTCCACGAGTCGAACTACACAGCATGCCGCAGCGCCAGTCAGCCGAATAACCACAGCCGAGTATTACAATCCCGGCGAAAGAGAGCTGCTGCGCAACGAGTTTATGGGCTTGATGAAGGAGCGCTTTCTCAGCGGCCAGGACAAGGATTTCGACTACACAGCTGTGGACGACAATGCCCAGCTTGACGATCTAAAGCAAATCGAACGTGATGAGGAGGATGCCTACTTTGAGTCCAGTGACGATGATGATGATGTTGATGTTGATGCTAAGGCGGCGCCTGAACGAAGCAATTCCAGCGACGAGGATGAGCTGGACGTCTATATGCGGCATCTAAACCAACATCCCAGTCTGCAGCATTAGTTTTTTATTTAGCTTTAATCCTAGCATTATAACGTGTACAATGACATAAGTATAAATTGTACCTTAAACCTGAGACTAATCCTGCATTCGTGTCCAAGATCAATCGCATGTTTAGTGAACAACTTTCGCGCCTATTAACTAGAAATACATGCAGTGGAGTGACCATTATCTGGGCCGGCCACGGCCACGTGGAAATCCGCGTCCACGGCCGCGCAACACCTTGCTATTGGGTGGCGGACTCTTTGGCCGCAGCATTTCGATGCGACTGGTGCAGCCGGTGGCAGTGGCCTCCGCAAAATAGGTCTGATAGAGCTCGGCATTGAAATTGGAATTCGTCAGCTCGGGTCCGACGGTTAGCCAGCCCGGCCTGATGCTCGAATCGCGTCCAAACAAATGCAAACGCCGACGGCCCAGGCAAAAGTGCTCAATGATATGAAAGATTTCGATGGGCTTCTCGAAGCTACCGAACTCCTCCTCCTCGGATATGATCAGATCAATGTCCACATTGGCGTGTATGAAATCGCCATCGCTGGAACGTCGTACCGTGCCCTTGATGCCCATCAGGCAGTGCTCCTTTGTGCGCTGGAAAACGGATTTGGGTATGGCCTGCTTTGAGTGGCCTGGCTTGTTGATGTTTGTGCGTATCCAGCAGATGTCCTCGCAACGGCGAAAGCCCCACTTCTTCAGACAATTGCGGCCCTGATCCAAGCCCTCCGACGAGCCGCACCACAGGAATACAAACGAACGATGCTCAGCTATTTCGCCGACATCCAAATCTGCGCGCAAAGATATGTTTAATATGGCCTATAATTGGCTCTTGCTGATCAGCTTACTGAGTATGTCGTCCCAGTTCCAGAAGACGCGCGGCGCCCCGCCCACCGTGGCCACAGCGGGCGCTGCTCGAGCATATTCCTCCAGCGGCGGCTCAATGAGTATGACATCAAATTTGGTGCCCAGGGTTTTGACATCTAACGTTTTGAGATCGGCCTTCAGATACATGGGCGCCGATGCGGTGTCCTGGATAAGCTTGTCTTTCAGCTTGATCAGCTCCCGCAGCTTGGGATACTCCTCGAAGCGATCGGCCAGACCGACATCGCGTATAAAGTTTTGTGGCCTTTGGCCGGTGTCCACAAAATGCTGGCAGTAATCATTGTGCGGATTGGAAGACTGTGTGCCCTTCAGGAACGTCGACGAGTCCCTGTAAATAATCTCGTTCGGTGTCTTCTTGGACGATGAGGCGCCGCCGCTGCCGCCATCCTCCTCGTCCCGTTGGCCCGAGGCATTTAGCTGCCGGCTGCCACCGATGCCAGAATAATTGTTGCTATCCTCAGCATTGCCCAGCACCTTTTTCAGCTCGTCAACGCTGGACAAACCGAGCTGAAATTATTTAAATATTCACATTTAGAAAAAAAAAAAACAAGGCGACGGTGAAAATTGACGCCCACCCACCGTTTGGGCAAGCAACAGTCGGCGTTTACGCGAACGCTCTTGCGAGCTCTTTAATACATCGCTCATGCCAGTTGGCGTCTCTGCTGCACAGTTAAATAAATTAATACTTAATTTAAACTAAAATAAAGACAAATAAAAAATAGTCGACCAACGCGTCTCGCAAACGCGTATAGTTGACGATAGAGATGGGTGCGGCACAAAATTTGCACTAAGACACATTGTCACGCTGGGCACGTAACATCGCCAATCGGCATGTGTGACTAGCAAGAAGCAGAGTAACGACAGTCTGGCAACGCCATACACAGTTGCCATTCACAATCAGCTGCATGCAGCGCTGACACAAAATTCATTTTTTCTATGTTAAACGCTGTAATTTTGGCTTCTAATTAGTGAAAATTTGAACGTAATTCACATTACAAAATGAAGCTGCTGCGCAAGACGCTCTTGTGCGCGCTCATTGTGCTACTCGGCTGCCTAATATTTGTCGCAGCACAGGGTAAACAAAAGGTATGCACACATTCGCCCATGGATATATGGCCACGTCAGAGCAACGGGCGCTAGCCGGTTCCGTTAGCCGGCAACAACGGGACTTGCGGTAGATGTAAACATTAATGTTGATTTCTTGCAGACGGGTCTCTCGCTTTCGGAGAAGGTGCAGAATCTGGTGGAGATGAATATGAAGAAGCCGCTGTTGCGCTTCAACGGGCCCAAATTTCGTGAATATGTGAAAAACACGCCGCGCAACTACTCAATGATTGTGATGCTAACGGCGCTGGCGCCGTCCCGCCAATGCCAGATCTGTCGTCATGCCCACGACGAGTTCAGCATTGTGGCCAACTCGTATCGCTTCTCGCCCATCTACTCGAACAAGCTGTTCTTTGCCATGGTCGATTTTGATGAGGGCTCCGATGTGTTTCAGCTGCTGCGCCTGAATACGGCGCCCGTTTTCATGCATTTCCCGGCCAAGGGCAAGCCCAAAGGTGCCGATACCATGGACATACATCGTGTTGGCTTTGCCGCCGATTCCATAGCCAAGTTTGTGGCCGAACGCACGGATATCACAATACGCATATTCCGTCCGCCAAACTATTCGGGCACGGTGGCCATGATTACCCTGGTCGCGTTGGTGGGCAGCTTTTTGTATATTCGCCGCAACAATCTGGAGTTCCTGTACAACAAAAATCTGTGGGGTGCAATTGCAGTATTCTTTTGCTTCGCCATGATCTCGGGCCAGATGTGGAATCACATACGCGGACCGCCGCTGGTGCATAAAACACAAAACGGCGGCGTTGCCTACATCCACGGCTCGTCCCAGGGCCAGCTAGTCGTGGAGACGTACATTGTCATGTTTTTGAGTAAGTCCGGCATTTGCTTGAGCCCCATTTGCCAACTGCTAACGAGATTAACGTTGGGTCCTTTGCAGATGCCATGATTGTCCTGGGCATGATATTGCTCATCGAGTCGGGCACACCGAAGGCGCACAATCGCAACCGCATGATGGCCATGGCTGGTTTGGTATTGTTAACCGTATTCTTCTCCTTTTTGCTATCCGTATTCCGTTCCAAGGCGCAAGGTTATCCTTATAGGTAAGTCCAGTTAGCTATAAATCCGGCCTGCCTTTAATTATTTCTCGCTTGCAGTTTCTTGTTTAAGTAAAATCAATTGACGCCCAAAGATAGGTTCAAGTGGAACGTTCACGTTTTATATAGTTCGAATTGACAAAAACAACAACAACAACAACAACAGCAAGCACATTGTATGTGTGTGTAAAACGAGTTTAATAATAAATGCCACAAATAATTTAGTAAAACAATTTCCAATTGAAGCCTACAGCAGCCAGGGTATGATGGCATGTCGCTGCTTGGGATAGTCCTTAAAGTTCTCCCTGTACCATTGATGGGTGAGCAGCGCGTTGATCGTCTGATTGCTGGCCACCCACAGAAAGATCAGCTTCCACGTGCTGATGGGCGTAAACAGATCGGCGAGGCAATAGTACATGACCACCTCGAAGAACATGTGCGGCGAGGAGATCAAATTGAACCAGCCGCCGCTGGGCAGCAGATGCGCCTCCGTCTGCACGGCGCCCGTCTTGGCATCCCTGCGCAGCCGCACCAGCAGCATATTGCTGGCATACTGCTGCAGCCAGGCGAAGAGGAAGACGAGCGTATATGTTGCCTGCAGCAGGCTGATATTGGACAGGGTGAACGGCGCCGGTTTTGAGCCGCGCACAAAGCCTGCCGTATTGCCCAGCAGCGAGATAATGGCGCCAAAATAGTGCAGATGTCCCACGGCATAATGCGAGAGATTCATCCGGCTGCGCTTGGAGAAGATTTGCACGAAATTCGTCTCGTAGAAGCGACGGACACACTGCACGGTGAGCAGCACAGTTCCTATGAACGCTGTGTTCGAATCCACCAGCACCTGGCGCTGGGTGCGTCCGCCGCACATGAAGTCCAGAAAGCGTAGCACGTACTCCGGCGCCGCAGTCTGGGTGAGGATGGAACTGCTGATGAAATAGAGCGCCAGCAGAGACCAGCCAAAGGCGAATATATAGAAATGACTGAACCAGGCCTTGGGCACCTCCAGATGACTGATCAGTGCGTCCGTTTCGCCCTTATGACTGTGCTTCCCATAGCGAAAGGACTGACGAATGCAGTTGGGCAGATGCGATTCCACCAGGGTCATTAAACTGCCCAGCAAGACGATGGTCACAATGAAAACGATGAAAATCACTTGAATCAGATTTATCTTGTACTGATCAATGAGCTCCTCCAAGGAGCTAATCAGTGACAGCAGCATTTTGAAACACGTAAGTCTTAATTGACAATTTTAAACGAAATAGAAAGCGATTAGGCCACGACTTTCACCGCTTATCAGAAGCGAACGACCCCAAAAATGCACGCGCTTGCATGTGAATGGCAAATGTGTAGGGCTGCTCAGTTTGGGTTGGCGCGCGTTTAAAATACATAAGCTTTTGCTTGTGATAAACCGTTTTAAAAAGTAGATTATTTTACAAAATGTCTGCTTATAATATTAATAATTAGAATGATTGTTGAGCTACTGCAGGCAGCTTATGATGATCATGTTGAATAAGTCATTGACTCGCCCGTCAGCAGCTATGTGCGCGCACATATGTGAATGGCAGGGCTGTGCAGGGCTGCATTATTAAATTAGGCGCGTACTTTGAATAGGTAAGCTTTTGTGCACTAAGTTGTCTACCACACTAAATTGCTATTTATTTGCAACAAAGCTAAACATTAAACTAAATTTGCTACGCATAACGCTAGATAATTGATAGATATGCATAATTCGATGCGGTTACGATATGCCCGGCCCCTTGATACTGGCTGCCGGCTAATTGCAGTTGAATTTGATGAGTATTGCTTTTGATTTAAATGAAGCGCCTTTAACAGTAGAGCACTCGCGGCGATGTTTGTCAAATGTCCACGCCATTGCGTCCCAAAGTGCCGCCCTTATAGGGTGGCGGCTTGGGCCGTGCATAGATGCCGGAGGCGCCAGTGTCCAGCTGATACAAGCTATTGCTTGGACTGCAATTGAAAAGATTTATAGTAAAAGGAATAACGATGGAATGCTGCACCAGATACCTTTGGGAACGCATGCTTGTGTTGTCCAGCAGAAAATTGGGATCCTTGAGACTCTTCAGCGTGGTCACCGGCTGCATGGGCTTTGTATCAGAGCACTGAACCATTTGCACGGTGGATGACATGGGATAGTCTATATGCAGGGAGCTGTAAAGGTAAGAAACGTTGTCTTATAAGTCCAATAAGTATTTGCGTGCATAATATGAAACATTCAAATCATAATTAACCTGTCGTTATCATCCTCCGAATCGCTTGGCGTTCGCGCGCAAGACTCTTCGCATATGTGAAAAATATTGTCAAAGAATAACTCGGAATACGGATCGTAACTAATAAGGAAATAAACAATAAAATGTAATCAAATTAAAAGAAAATAAACAGGTAGGTTGACATGGTGATGTCTCCATAATATCCCAATCCCATGGGACTTACAACTTCTGGTGCTGAAAGCAGAGCACAGCCGAGAGCATGCCAACGAGCACGGCGAGAATCATGCCTGGTATGGCAAAGGCAAAGGCGAACTCATCGATATAGTTGCGCATGGGCACATCCTCGCGTGAAATGCCCAGCCAGCGTTCCTCCTCGATGCGCTGCTGCTGCTGATGGTGCTCCTTTAGCTGCTCCTTTGGCCGGACGCTGGCGTGATTGTTGTGATAGAGCACCTCGGTGGGCGACTCCATGCCCACCATTTTGAAGGCGCACCAGTCCAGCTTGAAGCCGACATTTTCGAATATCTTTTGGACGGAGGTGCGTTTGTAGGTGCACGATGGCAGCTTGTACAGCGGACGCACCTCCTCCTGCAGCTCCTTGAGACGTGGCGAGAACTGGGCAAAGCTGCCAACATGCACAATGACGCTGCCAAAGATTGGACATGATTATTTTGTGTATCAATTTAACTGTTGGACTCACCCCTCACGCTGCTGCGGACGCAGCGGCAAACGTCCGCCCATGTTGATCGCCGACTCCATGAAAACCACACTCAAATCCTCTTTGCTGCTCGGCCAGAGATCCTTGCGGAAAATGTTGCGTAAGTTCTCCACGCGACCCGGATCCATGAGATGCACCCAATTGAGATTATCGATTTTCATTTGCACCACATTGGGCGTAATGAACTTATGCGCCACAAACAACGAGATGACCATCTGGCGTGTCTCATAGTTCTGGCGATTCAGGGCCACCAGATCCAGGTGGAGGGATTTGCCAGCGGCGCTGCCCGGCGGCGTGCCATAGAGGAAGCCCGCATGGTATTCGTGGCTATACATGTAGCGCATCCAGCTGGGCAGATCCGGGTAATGCTGCAGCGAGGGTCGATAGCGAAACTGTTCGCTAATCACCTGGTGCGTCCAGTTGAAGAGCTGCGGCTCGATTTTATACGTAAACAGTTCGCCAACATTTGCCTCCAAGTGCAGTTTGTACGTGCTGCAGCCGGCTACGGCCAGTACGACCATCAACAGTGCTAGTAATTGCATTTTGAATTATTCTTGCACAATTTACAAACACATTTTATTAAACCAAAAAACAGACGCTGCTGAAAATTGTTCAAGTGTGTATCTGGCTGGCAGCGCGGTTGAGAGCGCAGGCGCAGTATATGCGCGCATTCGCTGGACACCGAAATACCTGTTGAGCTAGGTCGTTAGCGTTTACCCGAATAAATAATTAATCAATAAAGGCTATGTGTGCATATGGATATACGTAGTTAAAGCGTGCGATAATAAATTCAAATTCGAATTGAACGTAAGAAATGGCTGATATTCTGCAGCAGTCTGGCAGCGCTGTTGCCATAAATATATCGATATCTATCGGTATCGATAGACGCTTGTTGTGTGCGTCGTATTGTTATCAGCTGCCAACTAACGCAAAGTTGGCACAAAATACGTGGCTTTATTTTCGTATTTTCGCGCTAATTCAAATAGTTATGTCAAGCCAAAGATAGCCGTTAGTTAAATTAACATTCAGCTGTCAAAATGCTGGCCCTACTGCTACAGCTGTGCGGCTACCTATTGGGATTGACCGTTCTAGCCGCGTTCCTGGTGTGTAAATAAAAGCGATAGCCGCAGCGAACGACATTGATTGATGATTACTTTTTGCACATTTTCCAGACGATTATTGTTTTGCTGTACAAAACGCAACCGTATCCGAACATAAAGCGCTACAAGGATGAGAAGTTCTATTTGGATCCCGATACGATCAAAACAATTGCATTTCCCAGTTTGGACGACCCGCCCACCTTGGAGCTGAGCGTCATTGTGCCGGCTTACAATGAGCAGCAGCGCCGTACGTTCTCTATTTTTTTATATTTTGATTGATCTTTATGAGTAATCCATCACATGACTTATTTTCCATACACAGTGCCCGCCATGCTGGACGAGTGCATGGCCTTTCTGGCACAAAAGTCGCAACAGCAGCCCGACTTTAGCTACGAGGTAATTGTGGTCAGCGACGGCAGCAGCGATGCAACGGTTTCCGTTGCGCTGAAATACTCCAAGATCCATGGCGCTGATAAGTTTCGTGTGCTGGAGCTGGTGGAGAATCGCGGCAAGGGCGGCGCCGTACGGCTGGGCATGCTGAGCGCGCGCGGTCGCCAGCTGCTGTTCGCGGACGCGGACGGTGCCACCAAGTTTGCCGACTATGATAAGCTGGCCGAGGCGTTGTCCAGCCTGGCGCCCGAATGGCGGCACGATGGCATTGCCATTGGGTCACGTGCTCATCTGGAGGATGAGTCGATTGCTACGCGCAGTTTTCTACGGTAAGTCAGTGTTGCCAACTGTCGCCGAATCCAGTGTTAAACATAGCCAAAAAATAGCCAAAACACAAATTGGCGGTAATTGCCAAAAATAGCTAAATCAGCTACAATTTCAGCTAGTTTCGACTGACAGCCACCGAAAATAGCAAATTTTAGCCAGAAATAGCTGTGTATGGCATATTTTACTGAAATTATCAAATCCTAATTGAAATTATCTTTATTTAGCACCATACTGATGCACGGCTTTCACACGCTTGTCTGGATTTTTGCCGTGCGCTCTGTCCGGGACACCCAGTGCGGCTTTAAGCTCTTTACGCGTGCCACAGCCCGCAAACTATTCAATAGTCTGCATGTGCAGCGCTGGGCCTTTGACGTGGAGCTGCTTTATCTGGCCGAGCGTCTGCAGTTGCCCATGTCGGAGGTGGCTGTGCGATGGACGGAAATTGAGGGCTCGAAATTGTCGCCGTTTTGGTCATGGTTACAAATGGGCATTGATTTGTTCATGATCTGGCTGAGATATATGGTAGGTGCCTGGCGGGTTGCTGCTAGCCAGAAGAAGGAGAATTGATAGATGATACGCCGAACCTAGTGCTAAGGGCACGCATTTAATTGTGTAATTGCTTTTGTTCACTAAAAACTAAAACTAAATAACTTATTAAATTAAGTGCACAGTATTTTAAAAATCTTGAATTTTGTGTTTCAATTATTACAAAGACTCAACGTATTCAGTCTGAAAAGATTTTTAGACTACATGGTAGATAAACAATTGACATTTTTAAATTAAAAGTTTTGCTGACATACAATATATTTTAGCTATTTTTTGGGGTAACATTTTCAAACGCTGCGATCGATAACTGTGGCCAACACTGCAACTTATATGTGGTGGTCGGCCGATAGTACTCGTTTTGCACAGCATCGATATCAGTTGTCGGGTTGCATCGTGTAGCCAATTAATCGATAGGCGTTTTAAAGTTCCGTCGCGTCGGCGCGTTCGCAACACAGAACAACTGCGCGTTAATTATTAATAATAATAATACGTTATTAGCATTAAGCAGTTGCACAGTAATAAACGCGCCAACACAAGTTGCCATACACATCTAGTCAAAGTACGTGCGACGTTAGCTTGAACTCGCTTGAACGGCACTTGCTGTTCCGGGAATTGGCAAATGGTATCGCCGCCTGTTGCGTGTCTGTGTGTGAAATCCTCATATGTTTGTGTGCGTATGTGTGCGTGTGTGTGTGTGCACAGCTGAGCCTCCTCCGAATTGTTTATAATTTTTTCGCCTGCTACTCAGGGAGAGCAGTATGCAAATGCTGTCAAAGCCGGTCGCGTCGCATTCATTGTTATCGCCGTCGTCTTTGTTGAGCGTGCGCGCCGCTTAAGCGAAAGTGATTTGTTGTTATTATTCCGTTTGTTCAACGCGCTTCGATCGGTCATTGCTTCAATTGCCCAATCAACGGCACTTGTGGTAAGTTTGGCACAGTTATTTCCCGCTCTCTTCCTCTCGCTCTCTTACTCTCTTGCTGCTGCTCGAATTTCATTGCAGCTTGAAAGTATTTTTATTGCCTTTGTTCTTGTTTGGTTTTTATGTTTTATCAGCACAATGAAATGTGAGCCGAGCTGATGCAAAAAAAAAAATAAAAATACAACGGAAAACCAATACTAGAATTTACAGTTGCGCTTGCAGCTGATAAGAATACGCCATCGATCCAATAAGAACTTGCGCCAATCAGACTATGTTTTTACACTTGCCTTCGAGTTGTTTTCTTTTATTTTATTTTTTGTTTCTCATTTGATTTTTTCTGCTTTCAAGCTGCAAACTCGTTTTGGTTGCGTTTCGTTAAAATTCTTTCAAAGGTCGCGTAGCGCGTCAAACGCCAACGCAGTCGCAGCCGCCCTCGTTAAATGCTTAAAACAAAATAAAATAAAAAAAACAAAATAGCGGCAATCAACAGAAAAACCAAAACATTTGCAAAAAAAAAAAAAAAATAATTAATAAGCAAACACCATGAAAACTAAAATGCAGCCATTTGCGTGGCGAAATTCAAAGTTGTCGTCGGCGACTAAATCTTTCCTGCTAGCGTGTGTGTCTGTGTGTATGTGTGTGTGTGTGTGGGTATGTGCCAGGGCCATGGCCACGCCCGCTTTGCCAAAACGCGCTGGCTCTTGTCTGTTTTTGTCTGCTGTTGCTGCGACGGCTGCTGCTGCTGCTGCTGCTATCCCAAGTCCAGCCCCAGTCGCCAACTGACGTCTGCGTCTCCATTCCCTGTCCAGGCCTCAGGCCAAGATTTATGTATGCGCCGTCGCAGTCGCCGTTGCGATCCTTTTGCGGTGTTTATTTTATAATACCCTGCTATTTTGTTACAACAGCAGTTGTATATGCCTATTCCCATTTTCATATTGTTAATATGCGTGTGTCTGTCGAAAGTATGGCAACCCTTTCGATACTTTTAACATAGAGAAACCTTCACTAGCATCGTTTGTTGCAAGTACTTAGGACAATGAGTATATTATTTATGAATCTAATTGAAGGATAAAGTAAATAAATAAGTTCAGTAACAAGATAATTATAGGAGCTGAAAATATATTCCAAGTAACATTTCCTAGCTTCAATATCAGCAAACAATCTAATATAGAGTTATGCCTTAATCCAAAGTTAAGGTTAAACAAGCCCAAATTACATTTTATAGGGTATATCTCCAGTCTATATAAACAATCTCTATAACTTTTGCTGGTTACTTATGGGCAAATGTGCGCTGAGCCTCTCAACGCTCTGCTTGATTAAAGTGCCACGCATGAACCATGGAAGGGAGTGGGAGCGGCCAGGCGGGTGGAGAGGGACGCAGGCGTTGTAGTTATTGTTGCTGCCGTTGTTGTTGTTGTTGTTGTTGTGCATTTGTCGCTTTTGTTTGTTGATTTCCATGCGCAGCCGCATGCAGCTTTTGTTGTTGTTGAAGTGCGATAATTCCATAGCTCTACATATGTATGTATGCATGCATATATTCATATGCATACCCTGTACTTTTTGAAGATGGCTGAAAAGCGGCATGCCGAAGATGTGGCTGTGCATGTCAATTTCTGATCAGCTGAAGAGTTGATTAGTTTGTCTTACTGTCTATATGATAGACTTGTCTTTTTTGTTATCGCCTGATAGGGTATAGACCCGTCGATCATATGTGTATATGTGAATGGGTATTTATTCTTGCCTGCATATTGGAACTGGTGCCAACGAGCCATTTGTTTGTGCACACGCTTCGCTGGCAACTGTTGAACTGGTCAAGCGATGATCAGCTTACACTGGGCTAATCCTTTAATCAGTTCTCCGCACAGTTCTCTGGAGGCTGCAACTGGTTTGTTGGAGTCGGAGTCGGAGTCAAGGTCAGCTGACTGCGAGCAGAGTTTTGTGCGAATGTGCTTCTCTTTTTTTTTTATTGCCTGTCTTTCGCCTAGTCTGTTGGCTAATTAATTGGCCATTTAATCGCTCGATTTGCTCTGGCCCAGTCAAAGACCGAGTCCCCTCTCTGATTGATGCCTGATGCGTTTGCAACGCCCACAGCAATTAGCCGGCTACTCGATTTGGCCACGGTCAATGGCATGAGATTCGCACGCCCACAGGTTGTGTTCGCTTGACTCTGATTTATGTGACGAGGCGTTGTCTCTTGTAAGCCAACAATTTTTGGCCATAACATTAACATGACTTTATGGCTCGATAACAACTCTTATTTCATCTTTTCAGATACCCTTTCCTGTTGCGCCACAGCGCGATGCTGAGCAGCAAAATGCAGCGCAGCTCACATGGCAGCATCAAGTCGTCCTTGTCGCTGCGCTCCAGCAGCAAATCCTTTCAGGCCAAAATGGACAAAATGTCGGAGCATCTGTACGATATTGTCAAGAGCGGCTCCATGGTGAAGCGTGCCCAGAACAAGAAGCGTTTCACGCCCGTCAACTACAAACATCGCTGGTTCGAACTGACCAAGCGTACATTGTGCTACTACGATGTGGAGAATGTGGAGGTGAGTGAATATTCTTGACAGGCTTTGCTAAAAATAAAAATGTGCTAAGCGTTCTACTGGAAATTATAAGAATACCTATTCAATCTTCACTTTCCACTCTTGTTCCGCCTAGTAAAGTGAATTTGTCCAAACTAGTTTAAAGGGGTTGAAAAGGGTTTGAGAGTAAGGGAGAAACTTAAAATGCTGCATATACAATCTATATAAGACTTTTTGAAGAGAACAAATCGATGCAATATAATATACGAAAATTATATTTGTTCATCATTGCAGGCAATTATTATCCTGTTTTACAATCCAGTTCTTGCATACAATCAAGTTTTCAAGGTGTTTGCAGGGTATTTCGTAGTCGAACAGCTTTAAAACAAATTTGTGATTGCGATCAACATATTTTGGGAGCAGTTTCTAGTTGAGAAGTTGCGAGACAAAGTTGTATATGTAATCAAATTCGATGCAGAGTATTTAATAGTCGAGCAGCTAAATAGGTTGCGATTGTGATCAAAGGGTAGTATATAGTCGATCAGCTTCCTCAGTATAGTTAGCTTCTATATCAAGAAAGCTACTTGATAATATTTGCAGATCTTTAAAAAAATTTTAAAGTAATCCAGTAGGATATATTTTCGTCTCACTCTCTGTCTCTCTCTCTCACTTACTCTCTTTCTCTCATCTCTCCTTGTCTCTCGCTTCCCTCTCTCTCTCTTGCTTTCTTTAGCTTAAGAAAAGCTCTTCATTTGTCGGCAGAGCTGCTGTGTGACAAAGGCAGCTGTAGCTAGTCGTAGGGATGTTAGGCATACGGCGGGGGTAGAGGGTGGTGCAAGGGGTTGGGGTGCTATGACTGGCTATTATTCATGTTTAAGTGGGTGTCTCGGCTTGTTGTCATGGTTTCGTCATTTATTGCGTCGTTATTGCAGCACCTAACGGTATCTGTGTTACAGCTGGAGTAAGGGGTAGGTGTGTGCACGTCCGTGTGTGTGTGTATGGGTGTGTGGGTGTGTGCAGGGATGTTGCGTGCGTGCGTGCGTGCGTGCGTGCGTGTAGTGTGAATGGGAGCACAGCTGCCCAAGCGAACGCTTCGTTTCAAAACAAATGCGACGACAATCGGGCGGGTTTGCCGAGCGCGCCGCCCGCCTCGTTTATCCTTCCAGTCTCCAAGGACCTTTGTGGTTGGCAGCAGCAAACACACCCTGCAGCTAGGCACACAGCTCGGCAAGCTCAGCAGCTGTTTGGATTCCAGTGCCGGCAAATACGCTAGACGACAAACCCTTTGTAGAGTTATCCCGTTTGCCGAATTCCAATTGGAAAACACGCCAGCCTGCCAGCATATTTTATCCTGACGAAGTTCAGTGGCCGTGCGCTCTGGACTCGTACTCTGGACTCGGGACTCTGGAGTTTCTAGCGTTGCCTCGTCGCGTGCGGACGTGTCTCAATCTTTCGTACGAATTAAGCCGCCGAACGCCTTGCCCAGCAACGCATTTCCCCAATATTAGCAAAGCAACCAAACTTCCTTAAAGCAGGCATTTGTTTTGATAGATTTTATATATATATATATATATAAGTATATATATTAGTATAGTTAATCGGATAGTACGCGCTTTTTATCGCACGCGCGCCGGCTTGTGCCACCCTTGAAAATTTTGGCGTCGGCTTTTTTCCGGCAAGTTCAAAACCACCCTTAGCCGAAAATTGATATATTTGTAACTAGTGTGCCGCATTTCCAATAACTGTAATCAAATATATATGTTCTACATATTTGAATACTTGTGAATAACTAAAATAATATTCAAACGCGGCATCGCCTCACTTGGAGTAATTCGGTAAAAAAAAGGCGGAAATCAAATTGACTTCGAAAACGTGGACCCCACCCAAAGACCAAAAGTTTTTCAAGTGTAGCGAGGTGTTTTTTTCGATTCGTGTCCAGCTCTCGCTCTCTCTCTCTCTCTCGCTCTCTCTTTCTATGCCTCGCTCTTGCTCTCTCCAACTCGCTTGTTGTTGTTGTTGCTGTTGCCGCACCCCGTGAGCCCGAAAAACTTAAAAGGATTATCCCCACGTCGAGCCCTAGGTAAGCCGCCTACAATGCTTAAGTTTTAGTTAATTTAATTGGTTTAGTTGTTGTTTTAAGTCGGGCAACAAGGACTTTCAACAGATTAAGCCCCGCCTTGTCCTTGTAATATCCTGGCAAGCAGCTATGCTAATTTTGTTATAATATGTGGCATGTTGTGAAGTATCTTTAAACCTATAAAGTATCTACATAAATTCTGCATGTGAACTTAACTCCCCGTGGTGCTAGCTTAAGGAAACTTGGCAAAGCTGTTTCTTCTTGTTTCTCATATAACTGCCAGAACACCAGAATAGCTGACAGGTCTAATTTTTAGTTTTTGTGAGGAAAACAACTCCTTAATTAGCTCCAACTATTATTAAAATATAAAATAAGAACTCTTTTGTCAGACAGCTTATGCCTTATTATACTTCAATCACCAATCAATCAGTCAATCCTGCAGTCAGTCGTTCAGTCAGTCAGGTCAAATATATAGTGATAATCAAAAGCTTTATTATGCGTCGATCATCAATCAGTCAGTTAGTCAGTCAGTCAGTCAGTCAGTCAGTCACTCAGTCAGTCAGTCATTCAATCAGTCAGTTAGTCAGTCAGTCAGTCAGTCAGTTAGTCAGTCAGTCAGTCAGTCAGTCAGTGAGTCAGTCAGTTAGTCAGTCAGTCAGTCAGTCAGTTAGTCAGTCAGTCAGTCAGTCAGTCAGTCATTCAATCAGTCAGTTAGTCAGTCAGTCAGTCAGTCAGATAGTCAGTCAGTCAGTCAATCAGTCAGACAGTCAGTCAATCAGTCAATCAATCAATCAGTCAGTCAATCAGTCAGTAGGAACCAACAGTTTTAATCGGAAGCCTTATTATACTTCAATCACTAATCAATCAGTCAGTCGATCAGTCAGTCAGTGAGTCAATCAGTCAGTCAGCTCAAACAGTTGTATATAAAGAGCTAATCGGACGCTTTATTATACATCGATCATCATTAACTCAGTCAATCAGACAGTGAGTCAATCAGTCAGTCAGGATATGCAGTTTTATATATACTCCGAAAGCCTGGAAATGTATATATATTTATATTTCATCATCCCTGAGATAGCTGTTCTAGCTGCTGCTGTCATTCATTCATTCAGTCATTCAGGCATGCATACATTGTCCAGCTGTCAACCCTTCGCTCCTGCTCCTGCTGCTGCTGCTGCTGTTGCTTTTGTTGTTGTTGGCGTTTTTCCGCTTCAGCTGCTGCTGCTGCTGCTGGGTTTGAGGTTCGATGAACTTGTGTGGCAAATGCTCAATTAATTGATTGATACGCCTTTTGTCTGGGTAAAGGATGTGCTGTTCCTGCTGGTGCTCCTGCTGCTGCCATGTTGTGCTCTCTATTGGGGTCAGTCGCTCCCAGTGCTGATTAATACCTAGCCACAACTCAACTCAACCCAACTCAGCTCAACTGAGCTCATCTCGGCTCAGTTTAGTTGCAACAACTGCAGCGTCTACTTAGTCATTTGGCGGGGTGTCATTAACCTGTCATAAAAAAAAAAATCGCAACCTCGGCCAGTTGGCAATCCCACGACTTGGCCACATGGCTGGCTCATCTAGCTGGTATGCTAATTGTGGCTGCGCTTTTGTTTGTAAACACTTTGCGTCTTCCCAATGCTCGGAGCCGTGTCCAAACCGTAACGCTCCGTTCTGCCCTGCTCTCTAATACATTTCTTGCGCAGATTAAGGCTGTAAATAATAATTTTCCTAAAGGGCCGGACACCAAGTAACGCATGTTAAGCCAGCCAATCGAAAACAAAGTCAGCACGCAACGCACTTTGAATACACTCACAAAAACAGGATGAAACATTACGGAATGAAGAAAAGACGTTGATTGTGTCTATATCTAAAATTCAAGTCTCCCACTTCTAAATGCAATTTATTGTTATATAAATCTAATTTGTAATTAAAATCAATTATATACTTTTTCTTATATTTTCTTTTTTTCTATTTTTCTATTAATTTAATTTTTAATCAATAATTTTTTGCTTAAAGCAAGTAAAAGCCCTGTTAAAGTGGAATGTGTTTAAAGTGAGAAGAAAATTCTTATTTTAAGATTGGAAATAAGAAGTTTTATTTACTTTTAGAAAATTTTATGCTTATTTCAAGCATGTTAATGCTCCCTTTAAATATATTGTGCTTAATTCAAGCATGTAAATGCTTCAAGCATGTTAATGCTCCCTTTAAGTATATTGTGCTTAATTCAAGCATGTAAATGCTTGTTTTTTATATTTCTTGGTTTATTCGAGCACGTTTTCCTTGACCATTACGTAGTATGACTATTTTTAAGTCAAGCAGGAATTCTGTGGAATTTTTAAATATTTTTGTATTATCAAACACAGTTGTTATAAACCAACTTAAAGCTATATTAGTTAATATAAACTCCAATTTTTACAAATGCTTTTCGATAATATCCGAATCTGCCTTTTTAACAGTTCCTTTCGACAAAGGTCCTTAGATAGTTGTCATACCTTGTCAAGATTGTTAAAAAAAAAAGGTAGCACATATATTTTTTACTCATGCCAATGTGCTGCATGCAAAGCTAATGGAGGTGCCATCTATACTTAGGTTAAAGCACCCCAACCCAGCTCCTCCCCCTTGCATGGCCCCTCGTTCGCCCCTGCAGCTCCATTTACGTGGCGTAGAATGTCGTAAAAGGCCCACGACCAAACGGTTGGGCCGTGTGTGGGCTGCCATTCTGTTCGGTAGCCATTTGGTATTGGCAAAGATGTTTTTATGGCACTTTCGGGTTTTATGACTGAAGAAGATGAAGCTGAAAGCTCAACTTGAAGAATTAGTTGAAGAAGCAGAAGAAGAAGAAGAAAAAGTGAATTGAGTGTCGGAATTGGTGGGAACTCGCGCGTCCGCGCTGATCAATCTCCATAATTGTGCGGCATTTTCAATTAGCCATTCAAATTTATCACCTCACATTTCA